GAGGCTAAGCTGGCCTATATAGCAAGATCCTGTCTTCTCACCCCAAGACAAAACCAAATGGAGCTGGAGAGATGGCTCAGCAACTACCAGCATTTGTTCTTTCAGAGGAACTGAGTTCAATTCCCAGGACCCACGCTGGATGGATAGATCACAACTCTCTCTCTCCCTTTCTCTCTCTCCCTCTCTCTCTCTCTCTCTCTCTCTCTCTCTCTCTCTTCCTCTCTCTCTCTCTCTCTCTCACACACACACACATATACACACACACAAAATACATACATACATACATACACAAATACATAAATACAAATCTTTTAAAAACCCACAAATAAATAAAAACAAAGAAGAAAATAAGGTCATTTGCATCTGTCTGTTGGCTTTAGGTCTCCAGACTGAGAAGTCACAAATGGAGATGTCAAGGACAACAAAAGTGTGCAAGATGGCAAGAAGACTCTCCCAATGTACTCCTGACACATCCCTGTCCTCACTCAGCCATCCACAAATGTCTACCGTCTCCACATCACCCCTGGCAGTGTAAGGCCCATTGGGATTGGCCGGTTTATACTGTAGTCTGGATGTGTGCAATATATCCAGGCAATACCCACTGTGTTGGCACTGGTCTCCACAGCCTGTCTCCCTTTCCTCCTGGAGGCCCATCACAACCCAGCTGAACTCAGCTTTCTAATAGAGTATGGATGCATTTGGCTGGGCTACAACCCATAATCCTTGGGCTCTCTGTGGGCAAGAAATGTGTTCCCTTAGAGCAGCGGACAAAGAAATGGTGTCAGTGACTGTGAGTTATAATTTGGATAAGGACTTTCCCCCAAAGGCTCATATCCTGCAAGCTTGGCTCCCAAGGTGGTGGTGTTGAAATGGTAGAGCCTTCATTTGTTGTAGTACAAGGGAGATAACTAGGTTGCAAAGGCACCAACCTTCATATACAAGAGGGAGCCTGACCTCTCTCTGGTCTCATTTCTTTGCTCATGTTCCCTCTGTAGACAGCAGTTTCTCTTCTGCTGCTCTGTCATGTATAATACAGCCAGAGATGTGCTAGAAGAGGCTGGTGCCATGCTGCTTGGACTCACAATTGTGAGCCAGAAAACCTCTTTTCTTTATATATTGCCCAGAGTCAGATGATTTCTTTTTCTTTTCTTTTCTTTCTTTCTTTCTTTCTTTCTTTCTTTCTTTCTTTCTTTCTTTCTTTCTTTCTTTCTTTCTTTCTTTCTTTCCTTCCTTCCTTCCTTCCTTCCTTCCTTCCTTCCTTCCTTCCTTCCTTCCTTC